AGCCTCAGGGTCAGCAGTTCGAAACTACCAGTGGGAGAATGATGAGGCTTTCTGCTCCTGTAAAGGTTTACAGCCTCAGAAACCCTGTAAGGGTCGCTATGAGTTAGAACCGACTCCACGGTAAATAACAACAACATGTATGTATATGCGTGTGTGTGTGTATATATACACACACACACACATATATAAATCCACAGAGGGAATAGAAGCAAATACTGTTGAATGATGATGCATGGAGGGGATTGTAATCATTGCAATGAAGCGAAACACAGTACCATGAGTGCAAAACCAATGATTCTCCCATGTAAACTATTGCTTAATTCACAATAAAAGCTTTAAAAAATAAAAAGAATAGATTTGATGCAATAAACACTAATGACCAAAGACCAGATGAGTTCTAGAATAACATCAAAGACATCATACATACAGAAAACAAAAGAAAATAATATGATGTCAAAAGAGATACTGAACTTTGCTCTTGAATGTAGAATAGTTAATGTGAATGGAAAAAATGAAGTAAAAGAATTTAACAGATTTCCAAGGGCAGATTTCCAAAGTAAAGTGTTATAATGAAATGTGCAAAGATCTAGAGTTTGAAAACCTAAAGGGAAGAACATACTTAGTATTTCTCAAGCTAAAAAAACTGAAGAAAAATTCAAACCTCAAACTGCCATATTAAAGAATTCTATAGCATCAATTTTCCCATTAATTTGTCTCCCGTCAATTCCTGGAACCCTGATTTTCGCCAGTGCCTTTAGCGCAACTTGGGCTTATTCTTTCAATACCATTGGTTCTTGATCATATGCTACCTCTTAAAATGGTAGAGCACTGATCATTTCCTTTTGGTATAATGACTCCGTGTAATGCTTCTATCTTCTTTTGACGCTTTCTGCATCATTCAATATTTCCCCATTGTTGTTGTTAAGTATTGCCAAGTCGGTTTCAACTCATATATGGCCTTATATAGTTTCTGAGGCTTTAAATCTTCATGGGATCAGAAAGCCTTATTTCTCTCCTGTAGAAGGGCTGTCAGGCTCAAACTGTGGACTTTGTGGTTCACAGTCCATTGCTTATAGATGGAGCCACCACATTCTCATTTTTCTGCTTATAGAATCCTTCAATATTGAAAGTTGATGCTTTAATTTTTTCTTCAGTTCTCTCAGCTTGAGAAATACTGAGCATTTTCTCTTTTGGTTCTATAACTCCAACTTCGCATATTTCATTATAATACTTGACTATGTCTTCTTGAGCTTCCCTTTAAATTTTTCTGTTCAGCTTTTTTACTTCATTTCTTCCAGTCATTCTAGCTTCTCTACACTCAAGAGCAAAGTTTAGCGTCTCTTTTGACACCCATTTTGTGTTCTTTTCTTTTGCAGTCCTTATGTATGGTGTCCTTGATGTTAATTTTATTCTAAAACTTATCTGGTCTTAAGTTTCTTCTGAACGTCATGCATAGGGTCAACTATGAGTTGATGGCATCTAACAATAACAACAGAGAACCCAGCCTAAGATACACCGCAAACTGAAAACAAACCAAATATCCTTCAAGGATGAATGGCTATGCAAACAGTGGGGCATCCATACCATAAACAGTACTCAGCAGCAGGAAGGAACGAACTACTGAGAGAGCAACGAGAACAAGTTTCAAGGGCATCAAGCTGAGTGAAAAAAGCCAATCTCAAATGTCCCATACGGCATGATTCCATTTCTACAGAATTTCAAAGTGATGTTATCATGGAGTTGAAATGAACTGGGCCAGCAGCTGCCAGGGCTCTGTCTAGGGGAGGTTGCAATAGTTACTACAGGAGATGCAAGGAGACTTCAAAAAGTTTGTGAAAAAAAGGAATAATAGGACTTTTTCCATGAACTTTCTGAAGTCCCCTTGTATTAGAGAGTTCCTCTGTGGTGTTGGAAGTTCTGTAAGTTGACTGGGGCGATGGCTACTTGATTCTACATGGGCTACAATTTCACAGAGCTGCACGCATGCACACACATACAGAAGCCAGTGTGGTCTGAGTCAGTAAGGTCTGAGTGAATGGCACTGCCCCAGTGTGGATTTCTTGGTTTTGGCCCTATCCTATGGAAGATCTCCTCCTATGGAAGATCTCCTCACTGGAGGAAGTGGAGTGAAGGGCACATGGGAATTCTCGGTGCTATTTGGCAATGTCCTGTGAATCTTAAACTATATTAAAAAGTTCCCAAAAGGCAACGAAAAGTGATAGTACATAGTAGGAACAGATAGGTGTCAAGACAGACCCTGGAGAGGAGAAAGAAGGTTGTTCCCTTGGAGAAAAGATATGATCCACTTGGAATACCTCACCGCAGCCCTGCTCTTAGCTAGAGCATTCATGGGGCTGGAATAAGGTGTTACCTTGTACACAGCAGCATGAAAAAGACAGAACTATAGCTATGGAGGGCTAGAGCTGAGAGTGAAGCATCCAGACAATTTAAAGTGAGGGGAGATGCACAAGAACATCCATACTAGCAGATAGTACCCATTTGACCTAGCCTCAATGGCTTGATAATCAGAACTCGACTAGAGGAAGATAAAAAAAAAAACAAAACAACCAATTTTTGATAAAGGAAATGAGGGTAAATTGCTACAATTTGATGTGATGAATTTGACCTATACTCATGGAGGTAGTAGCTCAAAAAATAAACAGAGAGGGAAGGAGTGTTCATATCAAGGACCCCTCTGTATACAAGGTAGATAGGGACGGGCAATTTAGACACTGACTACCTAAAATGAGGGGGCGATAAAGGCACAAAGTGACTGGCTTACAAGGTTTCAAGAGAGAGTTTAGTTTAAGAGTGTGTGTGGAACATAGAGTTCCCACTGGATAGTTTTCATCTTGTCTAGATGGGGCTGGTAAAAATGAGATGGGGATAAGATTCTTATGATTCAATAGTGAGTAACTGTTATCATGACTAACTGCAACTGTCACAATTGTAAAGGTAGAAGTTGTGTAACAAAAAGAGGGGTGTAGTTAATCTTACAGTCCAGAAACAGAGGACCCTAGGACCATCAAGGGAGAAGAGCACAAGCTGAATGCAGGACCCTATCCAGAAAAGCAGCGACACCAGAGATGGAGGCAGAGATGGAGACTTGGAGAGAGGGAGCAGCTGAGAACTCTAGATTCATGGAAAGAGAGGGATTGAGAGCTGGTGGCCAGGAGGCAGGCTTGCAGAAGGTGTCCTTTGGCAGTTTAAATTATTATATATGCCTGAGTGTTGAAAAAAAAAAGAGCTAAAATGAATACAGAGAAATACTGTTAACTGATGGTGGTACATGGAGGAGATTATAATCATTGTAATGAAACTAAGTATATGATTTGTTGAATGTAAAACTGATATGCCCTGTAAACTTTCACTCAATTCACAATAAAAACTGAAAAAAAAAAGAACTTTGCACTGGTTTTTGCGACATCAATATAGTAAGCAAAGAACACAGTGTAACATCCTAGCAAAGACAGGTGTACACTTTCTTGGGAGCAGGGTACTCACTCTGCGGAGTTGCTGTGGACACTACAGTCATGCTGTGGGGGGGTATTCCGGAGGTTCCTGGAGGTGGCTGCCCCATGGTTCCAAGGCCTCCCATTCCACCCAGGGACTGCCCTGGACCCCGAGCTGCCATGCTGATTCCTGTGGCTCCAGTGGCAGGGGCACCAGTCAGGTTCTGCAGAGCATTCATAGGATCTGTGGAACACAATGCTCCCAGGATTAAAGGGTGTAGAGCATGGCCAGCCCCAACTGACTCCAATTTACAAGCTCTATTCCTCAAAGTCTCTCCCCTTGTATTTCCCCCTGCCTCCACTGTGCCCTGAGACTTTCCCACACCCCAGCCCAGCACCTTGTACCCCAGGGGCAGGACTCTGGATGTGTCCATTACTACTCCTGGACTCTGAGTCCCATCCCATCCCTTGCCTGGTCTATGCCAGGGTCCAAATGTGAAGGTGTCCTGGAAAGCATACAGTTGGGCGTCCTGAGACTCAACCAGGTATAAAGATGTTGAGGGTAAGTACCTCACAAAAAACCAATGGCATACTTTCACTAAGAAAGAAACTCTGTAACTTAAGAATGTGAATTCCGGCTGTTCTTAAGACAGGTCATTAGACTGAGTATACCGCCCAGGACTGGACAGTGTTCTGCTCTGGCATATGTACACTTGCTATGAGTTCAAATCGACTTGACGGAACCCGACAACAAATGCATACCAAAAATAGATTTCTGATATCTGAAGAATTCTGTGGATGGGGGTACTTCTTTGGCTTAGTGTTCAGTGATGCAGGGTGGGGTCAGGGTGGGTGTCATACGGCCTCTGACATACAGTCTCATAGAAAGGGAGGAAAGACCAGGGCACTGTGCTGGAGGGATGGGCAAGGCTCAGGCACCTCTTGTTGCTGTTGTGATGTGCTGTGGAGTTGGTTCCGACTCATAGTGATCCTGCACAGGGTTTCCGAGGCTGTAAATCTTTACAGGAGCAGAAAGCCTCATCTTTCTCCCGCGGAGCAGCTGGTAGTTTCCAACTGCTGACCCTGAGGTTCACAGCCCGATTTGTATGCTACCAGAGCTCCTCCTGGCACCCTGTTATCTCCTTCCTGTCACCCTCCCCCCAACCCCAGCTGGGACAAATTTGAATTAAAAAAAGAATAACCCTTACCACTGACAGAAGCTTGAGATTTCTTGTTATCTACACAGAGAAACAGAAAACATACACACAGAGTCATCCAAGTGGTATGTAATCACAGACCTCCAGGTCATTTGCTAAAGCTGAGCTGGTCCGGTTTAGGAATCAGACAGAAGATGCGCAAAGCCCTGCAGCCTGAGAGGAACCCCCTAGTGATCCTAGTGACGCGGAGGTCTGGGGAAGGGGAGGCACGGTCCAGGCAGTTCAGAAAAATGTTAACCTGGGGAAAGAGGGCTAAGAGCTACCCCAAGGCTAGTCTGGGGCCCCAAAGAACTGTTCCCTTAACCCAGGCATGCTGAGGGACGGAAGACTTCTCTACTTCAGCTCCCCTTCTTCACTGGCCTCAGCCCAAAGAAGTAACTTGAGAGGTTTCACAGTAGTGTTTTTTTGTTTTTCTTTTTAAATCTCTGAAAAAGAAGATTAAACTGACCACTGAGGTCAATATTCCCATGAAGTCAAACTGTGCCTATCTGAGACTGTGGTTCTGAGAGGGTGGGCAAAGTGAAGAACATAATAGGCCTGTTCGCCGGTGTGAACGCAGATGTCCCCCACCCCACCCTCTGACACCATGGGGGCCGGTCACCCACAGAAACGAACACCTTTACTCACGAATGTCTCGAAAGTGGATAATGAGCCTGGCCACGAGGGAGAGGTATTCGTCCTAAAAAGGAAAACAGGAAGCAGATTAATCCTAGATGAGGGTAGATCAACCATGTGTAAGGCCCCCCTACCCCACCCTCCTTCCCATGCTGCTCCTGCCCTGGAGCCCACTTAGAGATGAAGGTGCCAGGCCGCGCAGGCCCTCCTGGGAATCCATTGCTCAGAGAAAAGCTGTCAGCGTTCAGCTGTGCTTGCTGGCCAACACCGGGCACAGAAACCTCAAGCTGGGCAAACAGGAGACACCGCCCACCCACGGGGGAAGACAGGGCTGGCCTGCAGCCACAGGGCTTTCTCTGGAGTGGTTGAGGGCGGGCACTTTCTGTGCTATTTGTAGCAAAGTGCTTTCACTTTCGGTGGCCAGCCTATTGCTTTCTGGGTATCTGAGTGAATCTGAGTTTACTCATGGGGAGGGGCAGGTGAAGGTCCATCTTCTCCAAATGGCCTCTCTACATCCAGGGACGCTCATTTCTAGGGTTCCGGGTAAATTACTCTATGAGTTTGTCTGTAGTCCACAAAGGGATGTCAGAGGTCATTTTCCATGGGAATGCAGGACAAGACCATGGGGCTGCAATCGAGTCTGTGTGGCTCCCAGAGACCACAGCAAGGCAGCATTCTCTTGCCTAGTTCTTGGGGCACGCGCGCGCGCGTGTGTGTGTGTGTGTCAGGGACAGGCAGAAAAACAGATATCAGGAGAAAACCTCTGGAGGAAAGAAGAAAGTGAGACCTGGTGTGACACTGAAGGATAAGCACTGAACCGCCAACCACAAGGTCAGCAGTTCAAACCCACCACTGCTCTAGGAAACTTTATACAGGATCGCTAAGAGTCAGAACAGAACAACTACAACATAAAAAAGATAAGGACACTTCCCTCAAACTTTTATTTTCCTTCATCAGTGTGGCCCTGTGGGTTAATGTGTCACACTGCAAAGCCATTTGAACTGCAAGGTCAGTGGCTCAAGCTCACCAGCGGCTCCTTAGAAACCCTATACAGGGTCAGAACTGACTCGACGGCACTTAACAACAACAACAACAACCTCCAAACTAAAGGAGTCCTGGTAGCATAGTGTGTTACAAGTTAGGTGCTAACTGCAAGCTCAATAGTTCGAATCTACCAGCCGCTTCATGGGAGAAAAACAAAGCTTTTGCTCCCATAGAGATTTACAGCTTCAGAAACTCTATACAGGGTAACTATGAGTTGGAACATACTCCATAGCACAGAATCACTACCACCATCTCCAAACTATGAGTGCTGGTGGTGCAATGATTAAGCCTTGAGTTGCTAACTGAAAGGCTGGTGGTTTGAAGTCAGCAGTGGCTCCGTAGGATAAAGATGAGTCAGTCTGTTCCTGTAAAGACTGACAGTCTGGAAACCCTAGGGAGCAGTTCTACTCTGTCTTATATGGTTGCTATGAATTGGAATTGACTCAAAGGCAGTTCGTTTTTTGTTTTATCTCCAAATCCTACATGCTATCTTTTTCCAGCTAGTGGAAAGAGCGAGACTAACCTGAGGAGACGATGATCCCATGGAGGGACACAACAGCTATAGAGAGAGGAAGTGAGCTGCTGCTGGACAGAGGGCGACACTCCCTGGTGGGAGAGATGACATGTTGGGGTGACAGCAGCTGGGGAGTGGGAAGCAATAAAGGTGAAAACACTCAGGACAGAAATGAAGTGGCCAAGCGTGTGGGGACAAGGCCCCAGGGTGAGCCAAGCCAGTGGATGACTGGACATGGCATCAGAGCCCTATTTCCATAAAAGGCAGAATAACAGTAAGGTTTAGAAAGCAACAGCAAACCTTTACTTTGATGCCTGCTCTGTGACACGAGACTCAGGGGGACATATCCCCAAATTCTCTGTGCAAAGAACCAGGACTGACCTTCAGAGTTGGGGATCAAGGCCTCCAAGCTGCAGTGCCCTTCCTGGCACCCTCGGCCTGTCTATGTTCAGCTGAGGCGACCTGCCCATTGCAGAGGCTCAGAGACCAATGTGGGGAAAAAGGAGAGGGACAGGACCACCTGACAGGTGAAGCAAGACACCCTGAGCAGCTATGTTACAATTCCAGTAGAATGACTTTTCTGAGGGTGAACACACATTTCCTAAATTCTTTCAAAGGTGGTGTCATCCAGGAGCATTTCGGGGCTGAGTGCTGTCACAGGAGGAGAAAACTCCAGAATCCTGCATGCCTCACCTCTGTTCACCACACCTCCCACCTTTGGAATGTGGGCATTTTAAGGGACACTTCTAGACAAGAAAATTATCCTGTTCCGCCAGATAGTTGAGCCATGGGAAGGAGCCCTGGTGGCACAGCAGGTTAAACATTAGTTGGCTAACCAAAAGGTCAGTGGTTTGAACCTACCAGCCACTCTGCAGCAGAAAGATGAGGCAGTCTGCTCATGTGAGGATTACCAGTCTTGGGAACTTAAGGAGCAGTTCTACTCTGTCCTATAGAGTCACTATGAGTCAGAATTAAAGACAATGGGTTTAGCTTTAGTGGCACAGTGGGTTAAGTACTGTGCTTCTAACTAACTGAAAGGTTAGCAGTTCAAATTCATCAGGTGCTCCATGGAAGGAAGACAAGACTGTCTGATCCTGGATAAGTTTACAGTCTTGGAAATCTTAGGGAGCAGTTCTACAGTGTAGCTACGAGCCAGAATTGACTCCATGGCAGTTGGTAAGGCATAGGTCCAGACAGACTGGTAAGGGTAACACCCTTCTGCACCAAAGCAACCTAACCCTCCCAAGATAGCTCCAGATAAACTGAGAGAAGAAGAGCATGGACCACCCTCTCAAATCTGCTCTACTCAGTACCAGCTACTGTGTCCAGACAGCTTGGAAGCCACATTGTTGTTGTTAAGTGCTGTCGAGTTGGTTCCAACCCATAGCGACCCTGTACAGGGTTTCCAAGGCTGTAAATCTTTACGGGAGCAGAAAGCCTCATCTTTCTCCTGCAGAACAGATGGTAGTTCTGAACTACTGACCTTAAGGTTCGCAGCCTGATTTGTAACCAATACGCTACCAGAGCTCCTTGGAAAGCCACATTAGACACTAAACAATAACCATGGGGCCAATCCCAGCCAAGATTTGTGGGCTGATAAGGGACCAGGTGCAGTTCAGACTCTTGATGTGCACTTAATCCTTGCAACAGCCTGATGAGAGCACCATGGCTGGTTTACAGATGGTTTCTACAAAAGCATCAAAAACTGGCCTCATGTAGTTTTAAAACTTGCCTAAGCTATACCAGTCTGCATGAGGGCTCCCAGCACTATGCTGCCATAAGAAGGGTGTGGAAAAAGTACCAGGAGAATAGATATGACAGAGGTAAGAGGCAAGGAACACATGTGTCACATATCATACCCTATAAGTAACCTATGGATATGAAAAAGGGAAGTTGAAAAATTCAAAATAAACTGCAGTGCAGTGAAATTACTTAAATAGCCCTTCTAAGCATGCATGTTCTCACTCCCACAAAATGACTGGGTATGACTATGCAAATAAGGTGCCTGTGGCCCTTCAAGGGGATTAAGCAGCTTTCTAATAATGCAAATAAGGTGCATAGAAGTGATTGGTCTGTTTTGCCATTCTACTAAGTTTTAAAGGGAGCCAATTCACAATAGTCAAAACATCTAAATGCCCACAAACAGATGAATGGATAAACAAAATGTGGTACATGTTTCTGTATGGACGGAGATGGAAAACATCATGCTGAGTAAAATAAGCAAATGACAAAAGGACAACTAATGCATGACCTTCAGAATATAAAAAGACATTTATAGAGAACAAATTTTATCAGTGGTTACTAGGGGCAAAAGGGAGGGGAAAAGGGAAGGGTTAATTGTGATGGAAATACTGCACTGATTAAGGGCAGGACTGCAGAGTTAATTATTGTAACTGCTGTCAATAAGTTATACACCTATAAAAAGTAAAATGGGCAAAAGTTGTGTGACAGACATGCTTAAAATAATTTTAAAAAATAATAATAAACTCCCACTCAAAAAAACAAACTACTTCTTGAGGGCATCTGTGAACTTGAAAAGACCAAAACGGATGTCAGAAGAAATTCTGAAAGTTACTCTGCAGTGTAGAAATATAAAGCAAATGGAAGAAATAAGGAGGTTTTTACCAAGAGCTGGACAGAAAAATGACAAAGGGCTGATCATGAAGACAAAGTTAAAACACTGTAATAAAATTTGCAAAGACATGGGAGTTAGAAAACCAAAAGGGAAGAACACGCTCAGCATCTCTCGAGCTGAAAGAACTAAGTAAAAAATTCAAACCCTGACTTGTAATACTGAAGAATTCTATGGATTCTATGTAATGCTGAAGGATGTCCAATGGATCTTGGCTGAAAGCAGAGACTATCAGAAAGATGTTTACCTGTGCTTTACTGACTATGCAAAGGCTTTCGACTGTGTGGATCATGACAA